ACGCGTCTGTCTCTGGCTCAGCGCCAGCCAGCGAACGCAGATTTGATTTTAGCAGCTGGTGATGTGCTGCACTGAACGTTCTAATCACACCAGTGTGATCGTATCAAAATACCTTAGTTGGGTATAGGAAAAATACCTTAATGTTGTCTTTAACATCAACACAAGATTTGATCTTTTTCCCACAAAATTATGTATTATGAGAGAGTTACACATCTGTCCATTGCATTGAAGATTATGATTAATATCCAGAAGTACATCACCACTTTTGTACTTTCAAGAAAATTTTATTTAACTCATTATTTATTTTTCATTGGCAGTGGCTTTTCAGACCACATGATCCAGGATATTATCAGCACTTACATGGTGTTGCCTAACAGGATCACTGTACCACTAATAGATGAGGTTGAACTGGCACAGCTCCGTTTCCCCATGCCAAAGGTGAATACACACACACACACACACACACACACACACACTCACACTCACACATCTCAACAACCCCTACAAATATTTGTTCATATTAATATTCATTAACCTCTCATTGTCTTTTGCTATATTCTCTTTCACACTCATTAGGGAGTTCTAAGGATTCATTTTCTTGAAGCTCAGAATCTGGAAGTTAAGGACACATATCTGGGCGGGCTGATTAAAGGCAAGTCTGACCCCTATGGCATGCTGCTGGTCAGCAACCAGCTCTTTAGAAGCAAGACCATCAAAGAATGTCTGCACCCCAAATGGAATGAGGTGTATGAGGTGAATACATACACACACATGCTCATTTACTGCGCTCATAAGACTCATGCGCATACACTGAAATGTGCATGTATGTGTTTCATCATCAGGCACTAGTATATGAACATTCAGGACAACATCTGGAAATCGAGCTCTTTGATGAAGACCCAGATAAAGATGACTTCTTGGGCAGGTGCCACATTCATTTATATGGCTGAAATGTACAATCTTATCTATTGTAGACCTTTTTAAAGATGTGTAATGTTCCTTTTATTTTGTTCCAGTCTAATAATTGACTTGAGTGAGCTTCATAAAGAACAGAAAGTTGATGAGGTAATGCGGTCACACTCTTGTTCTTGTTGAGATTAATTTACAGCTCACAACAAATGTCACCATCAGTTCTATTTCAGCACCGTCTCATTAATAAACTGACTTTGAACTGTCAAAGTATTGTAAGTAGGTTTAGGTTTTAGTATATTTTCAAACTATTTTGTTTTCATTGCAGTCATTCATAAAATTGCCTCAATGCTTACATTGTGCCTTCCTCTACTGTAAGCGTGTCTTTGAGGGCAGCTTTGGCTGTGAAAACCTAATGGAGAGGAGGGCATCTGGCCTAGTCTTTTGTGAGAACCCCGACTCTCTCTGTAGAACGTTATTTGTGAGTTTGCCAGTAATCTGCATCCTGGTTCTCCTGATCTAGCTGTAGCTGTTTACCTAACATTGTAACTAGACATTGCTTCCATTCAAGCTGTTCTTCAGTAACAAACAAACAACACCATTTACGTTGATCTGATGCATGTGAACTGCCATTTTTACCTGTTGGGCATGTGTAACTTATAATTGTCATCCAATAAACTATGAACATCATATTTCTTAGATCTTTGTCCCATTCAATACTCCCAAAATCGCTTAGTAACTGAGTATGTTTGTATATTTTTTATTATATGTATTTTGTGTTTAATCTGTCAGAAGCCAAGGTTTAAATATATAGCTTTTGTTTTTGCAGTCACATTAAGTCACATGATTAATCTAAATACAGCTTGGTCATTCTTAGATATATGATTGACGTTTCCTGATCTAGACTTAGTGAGCAGCCTGAAGAGAAAGGACAAAACTTTTTTTATTTTTTGTCCCTGCCAATATTGGCCATGTACACACTGCAAATTTCGGGAGTGACAACCCAATTTAAATGCGGGAGTGAGTCCTGTAAAATAAATTATCATTCCATGTGTGTATGGAACACGACTCACTCCCGAAACTGCCATGAATGGCAGCGTGGTAACCATAGCAACGTTGTGGCATCTCGGAGAAAATGGAGGTCCACAGATTAGCTAGTTTTGTGTTAGCTGCTGTTGGCAAAAACATTAGACTGCAAAAATCCGCAAAATGTTATTAAATCGCCATCGTCGGGAGAGGCGTCGTAATCTAGTTTTGTTCTTTAAACTGTTGTTATTGAACAGCCTACTGCTCTCTCCGCCATCCTGTCAGATCTGAGGTTAACACTTGACGCTTCTTGTGACATCATCATTATTAACAACTAGTTGTTCAGTTTGGTTCCGGACAAATACCAGAAATGACCGTGATATGTTTTTTAGGCCCATATCGCCCATCCAGGAGTAAAAGGTGAACTGACAACCGAATTTAGCTGCAGTGTGTATGTGGCCATTGTTACACTGATTTGATATGCATATGTATTTGTAATTTTTTATTTGAAATCTGTAGCTAGGCATGGGCCGGTATGAGATTTTGATGGTATGATAACCTTAAGCAAAAATATCACGGTTTCACGGTATTGTCATTACAGCTCTAAAATGTGTTATTTTTAAATGACTGGGTAAAAAAACAAAAAAACTAAACTTTTTTCATCTGAACACAATCTATTTTGTTTTTGAGCAGCATACAGAATGTTAGGAACAGTAGAATTTGTTTATTTTTTCTTTGATTTGTTTCCTAAACAGAAGAAAAATAAAGACTGACATCTTTATTTAACCTAAATCTGTAATTACAGTTATTTAATTTGCATACCGCAGGAACGGTATAACGGAAAATATTAGTGGTTTTGAAACCGTGAAATTTTCAAATCGCGGTATACCTTGAAACCGGTAATCGGCCCATGCCTAGGCTGGACCAATCGAACTATCATTCTTGCATGTCCTCTTGCTGTATATTAACTTTCCCATTCTCAATTTCTCTCAATCCTTCCTGTGGAAAGACCAATCCTCTTGACTTTAACCCTGATGGCCCCAAACCCCCTTATAAAGGCCTGAAGGTACATTGAGAATGCATGCAGTTTATACAGTGACATAACAAGCATTACACTCGCGTCTGGACCCTAAGCATGATTTCACATCTTTTATGATTTGTTTCATTCTTTTGTGATTTGGGTTTATTTCTCAATTGCTTTTCCAATGTATTCTTCCCTCATTAACCACTGCATGTGTTTAAAGACTTAGCAGATGTTATTGAAGTACTCTTCTATTTAATATACTACTGTTCTACTGTTATTTTTACTTAATTTAATGTCTTTATTGAATTAAGAAAATAAAACAAGAGGCTTTTTGTATTCAGGTTGCTGCGGTATTTGCATTTTCATAGATGAGTTTAAAATAAACTTCTCACCACAAAGCACTAGTAAGGAACATAATCTTAAAAAAAGGCTAACTGAGCTATGATGTAATTATGATTAACCAAACTAGTACAATCAGCTCATGTTACCAGAGAGCTGAAGTAGATTTTTTAACTATTAAAGGAGACTGTCATATTTGGTCATATGTCATTTATCATACTGTACAGTTGAATGTTTTCTTTCCATTTTTGTTCAACAGTCTGGGAAGAAAGTGAGCATAGACCCAAATCCTTTTGTCAAACTGACTGTAGGACGAAAGATGTACACAAGCAAGGTAACATTCATTAATCAGCTTTAACCTGTTCAAGACTAGCAAATCACTTGTATCCAGTCCTGTTTTGCTCCTGATTTTCAGGTAAGATATAAAACTAGTGAGCCGCTGTGGGAAGAGGCTTTTCCCTTCCTTATCAACAACCCCCACACTCAGGAACTGGAAATTGAGGTATTCTAGAAGGGAACACCCTAAAAGCATGAATATTAAAGTAATTAATAATTACTAAGATAATGTTAATTACGTAAGTCTACCGTAGTTTACACTAGGGGTTCAAAAGTTTGGGATTTTTAAAAAAGAATGTAATACTTTGATTCCACATTGACACATTAAATTGATCAAAAGTGACCGTAAAGATGATTATAATGTTACAAAAAAATAGATTTCAAATAAATTGTTCTTTTAAAGATGAAACGAAAAACATTTATCACGGTTTCCACAAAAACTGTTTTCAACATGGATAAGAAGAAATGTTTGAGAACCAAATCAGCATATTAGTATGATTTCTGAAGGATCATGTGACACTGAAGACTGGAGTAATTAAAAAAAAAAATCAGCTTTGCCATCAGAAGAATAAATTACATTTTAAAATATATTTAAATATTTTTTTAATTGTAAAAATATTTCACAATATTACAGTTTTTACTGTATTTTTTATCAAATAAATAAAGCCTTAGTAAACATGAGAGACTCCTTTCAAAAATATATATTTTTTTAATTCTGACCCCGAACTTTTGAGCTATAGTGTATTTCTCAGTGGTATATTATCAGTGTCAAATGTATTGCTATATCGCTCAGTATAATGTAGAGTTGGTTAGAATGAAATACTGTTCATTTTGAAAACTCCTCAGAAGATTGTAGACAGTGTGTTCCTGTTGGGTTTTGTGTGTCTCAGGTGAGGGATAGTAAGCACAAGTGCTCTTTGGGTAGTATGCGGGTGGCACTTGGTTCTCTCCTGAAGGAGGTGGACATGACGCTGAATCAGCAGTTCCCCTTGCAGAACTCTGGCCCCAACAGCACCCTCAAACTCAAAATGGCTCTCAGGGTTGGTGTGTCTGTATGCTATTAAAAGATATTGTCTCATTTTTGTGTGTATGTTTCATTCAGCACTTGTGTCAGACATGTTGTCCATATAAATATGTTTTCGTGTAAACAGGTCCTCGGTTTAGAGAAGGAGGTCACATCCAGCCAGCCGTCATCTGTCCGAATCAGACACACTAGTCAGAATAACACTTGCGTGTCTCCACAACCTCAAACAGCCACTAGCACCAGCAACTCCACAGTCATCCAGCCGTCACACAACCCATCTTGTACCCTCACACCAGACAACCCTCAAGGGAAAACAGTATTGGATGGCTCCCCGGTGCGGATAGCAGAGGCTGGCCGCAGTGTCTCCAGTCTAGAGATAAGCAGCTTGCACAAGCATCAGTCTCACAGAGACTCTACGCCTAGTCTGGCCTCTGACATTTCACTGCCCTCTGCCACACTGGAACTGCAGCAGAGGTTACAGCAGCTACAGAAGTGAGTCTGTGTCCATGACACGCTGATTCCCTGTATGCAGAAGTCATTTGTGTTTTGCTTTTTTCCTGTTGATGCAAATTCATTTTGTTAGAAGCCACACTGGGGAGTTCTTTCTACGGTTTATGAGAAACACTAAAAGCCAAAACACAGCCAAAAGTGAGACACTAGCTATATCCAGTGCAGTGTGAACCATTTATCTGCACGGCCCAATGAAAAACACAGCACAACTGACTGGATAGCACTGAGCAGATTGACCAGACCAATTTGAACAGTGAAGCAGTGGGGAAGCGTTACACAACCCATTTGTATTTGTCGCTGACTCCCTGTTACAAACCATTATGGCATCCATGTTGCTCAGATAGTTGAAACTGTGTTAAACAGCCCCAACATTCTATACCACACTGAAGAAAACTGGAGACAACAGACAAAGTAGGATTTTCAATCCAAACATCACCACCCTTACCAAAAATTGCCATGAATTTACACAAACTGGAATGTTTTGGCAGAAATATTGCATATTCATGCTAAATATTACAGACTACCGTGCAAAGGTTTGGGGCCAATGATGGGGGTTTTTTTTTGTGAAAGAAATTAATACTTTTTTATTCAGCAAGGATGCATTATATTGATCAAAAGTGATAGTAAAGATACAAAAACATTTTGTAATGTTACAAAATACTTGTATTTCAAATAAGTACTGTTCTTTCTATTTATCAAAGAATCCTGATTCTGAAGGATCGTGTGACACTGAAAACCAGAGTAATGCCTGCTGAAAATTCAGCTTTGCCATCACAGAAATAAATGACATTTTAAAATATATTCAAACAGAAAACACTTATTTTAAATAGTAATCATATTTCACAATATTGTTGTTTTTGCTGTATTTTTCATCAAATAAATGCATCCTTGATGAGCATAAGAGACTTCTGGAATGATTGGATTGTAAAAAGTAGATTTAAATACCAGAAGATATCCAGGGTGGTTGGAGGAGAGGTTGAAAAACTCAAAAGTGCTTTATATTTTAAGTCAATTTAATTTGCAATGATGTGGATCAAGGAAATCATGCAGAATGCAATCAGGAACATGCGTTGAGAAAGTAAATGTTGTAAATATATTTTGAATTCATGTTGACTTGTTGAAAGCAAAACGATATCCAAACTCAGTCTCACACACTGTCAGATAAACTTGCTGTTTCTCTGTTACAGCGGCTCTGGGCTGAGCCAGTATCCGCTCGGTGAAGTCCAGCTCACTATCCGACACAGCTCACAAAGGAATAAACTTATTGTAGTGGTTCATGCCTGCAGGTGAGAATGCCACAGACACATTAACCTTCATCTTGCTGTGTTTTATAGTACCACTTCCAATCATTTTGTTTGCTAATTTTTGCCTAATTTTGACTTTTACACTGAACAAATCCAGTATATTAGTGATTTTTTGGTAAATGATCAGTGGTTAACTCTCTTGAACATTAACAAGTGTGCAAATAAAGGGGGACATGTGTTTGCATTTGTATGTTTGAATTTGTATAAATGTGACGCAACAGGTCCTTGTGAAAATACTTCTCATGCTTTTGTGTGAATATGTGTTTCCATGTGTCTTAATCACAGAAACCTCATAGCACTGACTAAAGATGGCTTAGACCCATTCATCCGCCTGTACCTGTTACCAGACAAGAGTCGCAGTGGCCGCAGAAAAACCAGCACACTCAAGAAGACGCTCAATCCTATCTATGACCAGTCGTAAGAATCACACTAAACTCAAAGACCATTTTAAAATCTGCAATTATGTTCTTTATAATAAATGGTGCAAAAGACTTTATAAAAAATAAGTACACTTTAGCAAACTTTTAAAAAGATTACTTATTACAGAAAGAATGTACTCAAGTGCAAACAGAATGTTATGTTTTCTAACACGTAATTGCATGTTAATTGCAATTAAATGAAAATGTGTTAAATAGTTTAAATTGATATTAGATACATTTAGCTGAACTTTGACCCACTTTAACCAATACTGAAGTACATCTTTATATGTAATTTTATAATTACTTCTATTGTCTTTGAATGGTTGAAGTGTACAGATAAATACAGACAAGCATTTATAGTAAACTACTGATGTAATTTCTATCGAAACTTATGAAACATATGCAATATATTTACATATATTTGTAATAATGAAGTTGCAGTTCAGTAAATTTAAAATATATTTACTTGATATCGTAATATTGAATTACCCACTACAGTTATCAAAAATCAAGTACATGTGCTTTAGTATGTTAGCCAACATAATACACAAATTAAGTGTATTTATTTTAAAATCACACTTTAATGTTTATTAAAACATTATCAAAGCATTTCATTAAAACATTTTTTAAATGACACTACAAGTCCGCTACACATTCAGTACAATTAAGCACACTTCTTTTTCACAATCCATGTGTCACATTCAGCTCTGATTAGCAGTGTTATCATACTGTCTATGCATTCATTTCAACAGAAAAGTGCCAGTTTTGATTAATCAAATTAAATTAACCTTGACAATAAACATTGTAAGATGTTTCTTTAGCTTGACATGGTACCATTTTAATGTACAATAAGGTGGTAAATAGCAAGGTGATTATAAGGGCAGTTGAGGAGGAAAAATGAGGAACTACACTCTGTTCCGTCTGAGGAATAAAAGTTTGTAATGATATATTAGTGATAATTTTTTTTTGAGAACTTTTGCTAATAGTCTTAGAATACTAATACAAATTTTCCTAATAGTATTCACGTCAAACCTAATGTGGTTACAGGCATAGTGACATCTTTAACTCATTTAAATTGCATTCAAATGAGAAGAGGACCCACCAGATTCAAAATCTTGCCTGCTGTTTATCTTGCTGTATGCATTTGCATGACATTCCCTTCATATTAAATCCACAGCGGAGCTCCTTACTGAACAGAGCTAGTTAACTGTTTTACCCTCCAAACCAAGTCAGCCAAGACTTTATAATATACTGTATGATGCAACTGCCAATGTTTCTGAGAAATGTTATTTTTGTTTAATTGCATTGCTGAAGGTTTCTTGATACCAGTTGTCTGCAGATGCATGTAGCATAGTAAACCAGTAACTATAGTAACAATCTCTTGTTGTGTTGTTTTTGTCAGCTTTGAGTTCAGTGTGTCAATAGTGGAACTGCACAGGAGAACTTTGGATGTCGCTGTCAAGAATGGAGGAGGACTGTTGTCCAAACACAAAGTACTACTGGGCAAGGTAAAAAAACATTGATGCATTCACATTCCCTTCTTTTTCTCATTCTGTTGATCACTGGATTTTTATGGAGGCTCACAGATGTCTTTGTCACAGGCCGTTGCGGACTTGGCAAGTGAAGACGTTTCTAAAGGATGGACTCGATGGTGTGATTCTCATTCATTTGTACAGTCACTCTTCTAAATGTACTTTTTCCTGATTACAAAAGCTTCCTTTATCTCTCAGGTATCATCTGACTGAGGATGGATCTAAGAAGATAATTCAGACGTAGTGGTCCATGCTAGAAAGCAGAAACGAATGGAACAGCAGATAACTGGGACATGTCACGGCACGCACAGGATAGAAGCTTGAGAAGCAGAAGAGCAGCGCTGGACTAACTAAACCAGGCTACTTCTACTGGGATTTACACTGGCCTATAAAGTGTCTCTCTCATTCTCACCAAAGCTAAAATTGCCACCTTAAGCATCAGTGGCCCGCTTACTCTCTCTTTCTCAAAGGATTCAATCTGATTGTCTTTTTTGTTTTGTCTTCTTGTGTTTGTTTTATTCATCTTATTGGTATTTGGACAAATTATATCACTTTTACCCGATAAAAATAGTTACCTATGAAGTTAAGAAACAACGACAGAAAAAAAAAGATCATTTAGATCATTAGATTTATTAATACGTGTGCCTTTATTTATTGTATTTAAGTTATTTTGATAATATTTTGAAACTTTTTGATTTCTGGGTTTAATACTATGTTTTGTAAGCAATCAAAATCACATCTGAAAAAAAATGTTATGTTGCTGGAAAGTCAGACATTATTGTAGCATTGTTGTTTGTTTGAGGCAGTATATTACACAAAACACATGGCCAAAGGCAAAGGCCACACGTATTCGTTTGAATGTATATATGTATGTATGAACATTTATTTTTTCTTAGATTTTATGCTTTTTCTATCAAACAGCTATGGAAATTCTAAGTTATGTTCAGCTCTTCATAGATGATCCACTGATCATTTATTTTAAAAGTATTTTACTGTGTCCTGTTGCACAACACAAAATGAAAAGCCTGTACAGAAATGTTTGATACCCGTTTTGTCTGCAACAGTTTTATGAGGAAAAGCAAAATGTGTGTTTAGTATGTGACATTTGTAAGATAATAATAGCTTGGTTACAAAGTGTTTTGCTTATGGATTGTTTAAAGACTGTGAAATGGCTGTTGATATGATTTCCAGCCTTATTCTTCTCTATGCATAATGCATGATATCATTAAAATATGAAATTCAACTTGAATCATACTGAACTTGTAACTTGGACCCCTTTTAGAGTTAAAGAGCCTGAATGCATTTTTATCTTAATTGTCTATTCATACTTTTTTTGTTTTTCATGGTATATTTTAACAAGGAAGGTGTTATATATATTATATAATGCTCAATATTTAGGCCTTTTTTTTTTTTTAGGTCCAGCAATACTCATAGAACATGATACTGATACAGAGCAATATTTTCTAATAACTGTAAAATCTAGTTTCCTTGGCTTGGTATTCCAAAAAGAGGGAGAACAGATTCAAGTTGTTTTATTTATTTTTTATTAATATTTTTCCATAACAGAAAAGTATGTAATTACAATATAATGTGTCATCTGTAATATCTCAGAGACAATTCTTCGCCTCTGTGCCTCTCATTGTTTACAAGTGTTGGAAAGGCTCCATCTGCTGGACATTAGCTGTTAGTTGTAGATTTTAGAATAGTAAATGAACAAGCCGATGCTCTGAAACAGTAGTTAGCGTTTGAAGCATTATCTAAATAACGTTCTACATAACGCTTTTAGTAGAGATAACGATGAAATCTGTTGCATTCAAACTCAAGCGCCGTCCATCTCCCCTACAGCAGGTGGCGCTGTCACATTAAGAACGGCAAGGACGAAACGTTACGCCTGACGTCATGACTCTTCTTTAAGTTTGAGCGGGGAAATGTTGAAACGGGCGGAGCGGGTGTAGCTCTGAGGCTCTGCTCTCCTAACGTTAGATGTAAACAACCTGACAGGTTTGCTTTGACGGAAAATATTTATTTATTATGTGCTGATAGAGTTTAGAAAATAATGCTTTGCTCTGCTTATGCGAAACGAAAGCCTTCCGTGTCGAAACTATATTAACACTTACGCTGTTGCATACGTTACATAAACTCATCCTGTGCACGGACAATAATATAAAATAAAACATCACTGGTAAGTTACTTGCCGAAGTACGTCGTAATTGTGTTTCTGTTTGTCTTCTGTCTGGTAGGACTCCAAGCGAAATGTCGAAACGAAAGCAGTTTCTGGAGTCTGTCCATCATGAGCACGTCCAGGATTTTCTGGACTTCATCAGATTGCATGTGAGTCATGTTTACCGCGCTCTCCGTCAGTGTCACTCACTCCATACATTTGAATGACAAAACTCATTGAATTGAATGTGCACGTGTCATGTGATTCGAACCTTTAAAGCACATAAACAAACAGTACTTTCAAATAAAGTAATAATAAAAATAAAAAAACACTACGAGTATGGTTTCACTGTTTGTGTGTTATTCAATATTACGTAAGTAAATATATTTTAAATGTGCTAAATAGCAACATCATTACAAATGTGTAATTACAAGTATACGTAACTACATGATTTAAAGTTGGATTAGAGACTCAAACTACATTAAAATTTACCATAATTGTCGGTATATTTGACAGTACGCTTTAAACATATTTCAAAGACAAAAGAAGTAATTATGAAATCACATATAAAGGTGTACTAATAGCATTGAATTGCAAATAACATGTAGTTGTGTGCCCAAAAACATTACATTCAGTTTGGGATTAAGTATATTATTTTTAAGTATATTATTTCCGTAATAAGTAATCTTTTTAAAAGTATGCTAAAGTGTGCTTATTCACAAGGCATAAATGTAATGTACTCAATGTAAATTACGCTGGATACATGTTTTATCTGTTAAACAACTAAAGAGAACAATAGACACGCAAGACCTTATATTTTGACTATATGATGCTGTTGTTTCTTAGATATAACAAGTTTACATTCAGAGTAAAGAAAGCAAAGTCTATGCAAGTCAGTCTTCAACTACTGGTAAAAGTCAAGGATACAGAAAGAGCTAAAACACCAGTCTGAGTCTATATTATTCAGAAGATCACACTGTTCACTGCTGTTTGTTTTACAGAAGGATGGAGCGGATCCGTTTGACCTGGCTGAGGTTTTGCCGGAGCTGCAGAGGAGTCAGAGGCAGGAGTTGTGGGAGAGACAGCTGAAGTTGCTGCAGCACAGCCTCACTGCTCACCCTCCAGAGCGCTGGATCACTGGAGCCGAGGAGGACGCAGGCGACATGGAGGTAGAGATTTCTGAGGAACAGGTAAGACTGCTAATGTTTCGAATGAGACAGAAAACCAAGATCTTTATGGTAACATGTCAAAATGACAGGTAGTTTGTTCTTGTTTCCTTTCAGATACAGACAATGGCAGTAATAGAGGGCGTTACAATTGTTTCTACAGTCTCTGTAGACATTTTGCAGGAAAATGACATTTATACTTCTCTTCTCGAATGTGCCCAGATGCTAAACAGTAAGTACTTGTAATGTGACTCTTGGAAAAAAATGCAATAATGTGAAATAGTATTACAATTTAAATGAACTGTTTTGTTTTCATATATTTTAAAACGTCTTTTATTCCTGTGCTGGCAAAACAGATTTTTCAGCATCATTACTCCAGTCTTCAGTGTCACATGATCTTTCAGAAATCATTTTAATATGCTGATTTGCTGCTCAAGAAACATTTATAGTTATTATTATCTATGTTGAAAACATGCTTAATATTGCTGCATAGTATTTTTGTGGAAACGTGAAACTTCTTTGATTAAAAAGAAAGCAAAATAACAGCGTTTATTTGAAATAGAATTATTTGTAACATAAATGTCTTCACTGTCACTTTGATCAATATAATGCATCCTTGATGAATACAGTAATAATAATTTCTTTTAAAAAAATGTAATGGGTTAAATCCAAATGGTTGCAGGTTTGATCTTATTTGCTGTCGTCATTGTCATTTTTGCATCACCATTGTACACTTCAAAAAGGTTCATAATTCCACATTTGTTTCTTAAATAGGGTTGTAATGTATTTCCTCCATTGTTGTCTTTTACTCCAGGTATAGAGTGCGCTTTGCCACTGTCACACACACCCCTCCAGCAGGCTATTCATTGGCTGTTTGAAGGCTGGTGGAGACGGGATCTAAAAGGGAAGGAGGAGCTTGGATGGACTGCTTTCCTTGTCTGTTTGGAGAACACTGTTACACTTGAGAAACCGGTACTAGAACAACTTTATATCCATTATATATAATAAACAGGCAGATCATTTGATATTCTATACTGTGGATGAAAAGTGTTCATGCTTTTTGGGTGTGTTCCCAGGTCAGTGAGCTCAGAAGGCTCTGTACTCTACGAGAGGTGCTTCTCAGTGTAGACTTTGCATCTGAGAGAGGGCAGCAGGTCATTGATCCTCTCCTCCAGTGTTTCTTCAGGGCCTCTCATATTAAACAAGAAGAGGTTTGTGTATATGTGTTTGTGGGCCCATACATTTGAGACATTATTTTCCACTGTAGATCATTTTTATATTATTTTGTTTATTGCTTATTTTTCAGGGGAAACGGTTCCTTGCCTTCCTTTTTTCTTGGAACGACAACTTCATTCGCATGATTCATGAAACTATTAAGAATCAGCTGCAGTTTTTCCCAAAGTATTTCGAACACTCATGACCTCTTGTTTTATAATGCTTTGCTTTGTAACTTTGTTTATGTTAAGAGACAATACGAAGTGGAGACAGACCACTTTTAGTAACTGAAAACCTGCTACACTCAATATATAGATGCTAAGTATAGCAGATACTACAAAAGAAGTTTACTCTATAATGCGCATGTGCATTAAATGCCTAATGCCTACCAAGAAAATAGTTGTCCGTCATTTGGGATGTAGTCTCGCGTAGCCATGGCAGTTTTGATTGGCCAAGCCTGCCCATGAGGCCGTTTGACCGACATGTCAAACAGCCAATCACAGTTCGTTTCTTTCAGCGTCACGTTTCGGGGCGTGGAAATGTCGCCACAATAACAGACCGGTGTGTAAAACTCTCGGACGTATTTGAAAGATTCTATCCCACGAACTTTAAATATTTCACATAATTTTGAAAATCCAGCATTTAGTTGATCATGATAAATGCTCATTGTCACAGTTGTAAACACGACGGCTTTCTTCTTTCGTGAGGGGGTTTGGCGGCACGGCATCTTTTTTTCCAGGCGGAATGTTAAAGAACGTGACACGTCTCCCGGAAATCCAATATAATTCAACCAATCCGATGACGACTTCGAAACTCCTGAAACTCCTTTCCACTTTTGTGTGCCGTATGCATCAGACGTTCAGCCAGCGGTCCGTGGGCGTGACGTCTGAAGCTGAGACTATTTGGGATGTATCTTTTTAATGCTTTTTAGCAGGTAAATTACTCTGTGCACCTTTAAAAATTGGAAATTAAATGGACCTTCACATATTTGATGGGAAAATTGCATGACACTACTTGAGTAGCAGAGTTATCAGGTGATCACTCACACAGAATCATCTTCTCCACACAAAACTTGTCCTTATTAAAACAAGCCAAGCAAGACAGTTCTGTAGTAACCTTCACATATTAATCAAACAAGCAATATTAGAGTGGTCTCTGTACTATCTAAGTACACTGTGCATTTGTACTGTATGATCTGCTATTATATCCTATACCTACAGGATGCTGTCTGTTCATGTGGCTGAAATTTACTTCAGAGCATGGAGAAAGGCATCAGGTTCTTTTCTGGAGGAGATTGAGTCCACCTGCATTCAGGACCTAATGCAGCACGCTCTGTTGCTGCACAGAAACTCACCTGTACACAGTAAAGTCAGACAGGTCAGAGACCGTATTTCATCTTTATTGCAATGAAGTGGATAATTAAATATGAACTTGTTAACTTACACTATCATTCAAAAGTTTGGAGCCGGTAATGATTTTAAAAGAAGCCTCTAATGCTCACCAAGGCCACATTTTCTTGACAAATATAATAAGAACAGTAATAGTGTGAAATATTAATAATAAATAAGAGAAATAATAGTCAGAAGGCTCATTTGATACTTACAGGAAAATGGAACCGATAAATTGGTGATCTGAATTTTGAAACTTAATTCTTCACTGTAAGTGAAAATGTGTCCTTGTCTCTGCATATAGATCCTTAATTATTTCTACAAGCAGAAGTTTCGTGAGGGTGTCGATGAGATGCTGCACAGACTCTACAAGCCAATTCTGTGGAAAGCGTTAAAGGTAGATGATAAATCAGTTGACAGTGTGTTGTTTTAA